TGGGTATGGGTTCGCATGGGGGTCTGGTTGGGTACGGGTTAGCATGGGGGTCTGGTTGGGTACGGGTTAGCATGGGGGTCTGGTTGGGTACGAGTTAGCATGGGGGTCTGGTTGGGTATGGGTTCGCATGGGGGTCTGGTTGGGTACGGGTTAGCATGGGGGTCTGGTTGGGTATGGGTTCGCATGGGGGTCTGGTTGGGTACGGGTTATCATGGGGGTCTGATTGGGTACGGGTTAGCATGGGGGTCTGGTTGGGTACGGGTTAGCATGGGGGTCTGGTTGGGTACGGGTTAGCATGGGGGTCTGGTTGGGTACGGGTTAGCATGGGGGTCTGGTTGGGTACGGGTTAGCATGGGGGTCTGGTTGGGTACGGGTTCGCATGGGGGTATGGTTGGGTACGGGTTAGCATGGGGGTCTGTTGGGTACGGGATAGCATGGGGGTCTGGTAGGGTACGGGTTAGCATGGGGGTCTGGTTGGGTATGGGTTCGCATGGGGGTCTGGTTGGGTACGGGTTCGCATGGGGGTCTGGTTGGGTACGGGTTAGCATGTGGGTCTGGTTGGGTGAGTATGGGTTAGCGAGTGGGTCTGGTTGGGTACGGGTTAGCTTCTGAGTCTTGTTGGGTACGGGTTAGCATGGGGGTCTGGTTGGGTATTGGTTCGCATGGGGGTCTGGTTGGGTACGGGTTAGCATGGGGGTCTGTTGGGTACGGGATAGCATGGGGGTCTGGTAGGGTACGGGTTAGCATGTGAGTCTGGTTAGGTACGGGTTAGCATGGGGGTCTGGTTGGGTGAGTATGGGTTAGCATGTGGGTCTGGTTGAGTATGGGTTAGCATGGGGATCTGGTTGGGTACGGGTTAGCTTCTGAGTCTTGTTGTGTACGGGTTAGCATGTGGGTCTGGTTGGGTACGGGTTAGCATGGGGGTCTGGTTGGGTTCGGGTTAGCATGTGAGTCTGGTTGGGTGAGTGTGGGTTAGTATGGGGGTCTGGTTGGGTGAGTGTGGGTTAGCATGTGGGTCTGGTTGGGTGAGTGTGGGTTAGAATGAGGGTCTAGTTGGGTAAGTGTGGGTAAGCATGTGGGTCTGGTTGGGTGAGTGTGGGTTAGTATATGGGTCTGGTTGGGTGAGTGTGGGTTAGCATGGGGTCTGGTTGGGTGAGTGTGGGTTAGCATGTGGGTCTGGTTAGGTGAGTGTGGGTTTTGCATGGGGGTCTGGTTGGGTGAGTGTGGGTTAGCATGGGGGCCTAGTTGGGTGAGTGTGGGTTAGCATGTGGGTCTGGTTGGGTGAGTGTGGGTTAGCATGTGGGTCTGGTTGGGTGAGTGTGGGTTAGCATGTGGGTCTGGTTGGGTGAGTGTGGGTTAGCATGGGGGTCTGGTTGGGTGAGTGTGGGTTAGCATGGGGGTCTAGTTGGGTGAGTGTGAGTTAGCATGTGGGTCTGGTTGGGTGAGTGTGGGTTAGCATGTGGGTCTGGTTAGGTGAGTGTGGGTTAGCATGTGGGTCTGGTTGGGTGAGTGTGGGTTAGCATGGGGGTTTGGTTGGGTACGGGTTAGCATGTGGATCTGGTTCCGAATGGGTTAGCTTGTGGGTCTGGTTGGGTACGGGTTAGCATAGGGGTCTGGTTGGGTACGGGTTAGCTTGTGGGTCTGGTTGGGTACGGGTTAGTATATGGGTCTGGTTGGGTACGGGTTAGCATGGGGGTCTGGTTGGGTACGGGTTAGCATGTGGGTCTGGTTGGGATCGGGTTAGCATGTGGGTCTGGTTGGGTGAGTGTGGGTTAGCATGTGGGTCTGGTTCGGTGAGTGTGAGTTAGCATGGGGGTTTGGTTGGGTGAGTGTGGGTTAGCATGGGGGTTTGGTTGGGTACGAGTTAGCATGTGGGTGTGATTGCGTATGGGATAGCATGTGGGTCTGGTTCCGAATGGGTTAGCTTGTGGGTCTGGTTGGGTACGGGTTAGCATAGGGGTCTGGTTGGGTACGGGTTAGCTTGTGGGTCTGGTTGGGTACGGGTTAGCATAGGGGTCTGGTTGGGTACGGGTTAGCTTGTGGGTCTGCTTGAGTACGGGTTAGCATGGGGGTCTGATTGGGTACGGGTAAGCTTCTGAGTCTTGTTGGGTACAGGTTAGTATATTGGTCTGGTTGGGTACGGGTTAGCATGGGGGTCTGGTTGGGTGTGGGTTAGCATGGGGGTCTGATTGGGTACGGGTTAGCATGTGGGTCTGGTTGGGTACGGGTTAGCATGTGGGTCTGGTTGGGTACGGGTTAGCATGTGAGTCTGGTTGGGTGAGTGTGGGTTAGCATGGGGGTCTGGTTGGGTGAGTGTGGGTTAGCATGTGGGTCTGGTTGGATACGGGTTAGCATGTGAGTCTGGTTGGGTGAGTGTGAGTTAGCATGGGGGTCTGGTTGGGTGAGTGTGGGTTAGCATGGGGGTCTGGTTGGGTGAGTGTGGGTTAGCATAGGGTCTGGTTGGGTGAGTGTGGGTTAGCATGTGGGTCTGGTTGGGTGAGTGTGGGTTAGCATAGGGTCTGGTTGGGTGAGTGTGGGTTAGCATGTGGGTCTGGTTGGGTGAGTGTGGGTTAGCATGTGGGTCTGGTTAGGTGAGTGTGGGTTAGCATGTGGGTCTGGTTGGGTGAGTGTGGGTTAGCATGGGGGTTTGGGTGGGTACGGGTTAGCATGTGGGTGTGGTTGCGTATGGGTTAGCATGTGGGTCTGGTTCCGAATGGGTTAGCTTGTGGGTCTGGTTGGGTACGGGTTAGTATATGGGTCTGGTTGGGTACGGGTTAGTATATGGGTCTGGTTGGGTACGGGTTAGTATATGGGTCTGGTTGGGTACGGGTTAGCATGGGGGTCTGGTTGGGTGAGTATGGGTTAGCATGTGGGTCTGGTTGGGTACGGGTTAGCATGGGGGTCTGGTTGGGTGAGTATGGGGGTCTGGTTGGGTACGGGTTAGCATGTGGGTCTGGTTGGGTACGGGTTAGCTTATGAGTCTTGTTGGGTACGGGTAAGTATATGGGTCTGGTTGGGTACGGGTTAGTATATGGGTCTGGTTGGGTACGGGTTAGTATATGGGTCTGGTTGGGTACGAGTTAGCAAGGAGGTCTGGTTGGGTGAGTGTGGGTTAGCATGGGGTCAGGTTGGGTGAGTGTGGGTTAGCATGTGGGCCTGGTTAGGTGAGTGTGGGTTAACATGGGGGTCTGGTTGGGTGAGTGTGGGTTAGCATGTGGGTCTAGTTGGGTGAGTGTGGGTTAGCATGTGGGTCTAGTTGGGTGAGTCTGGGTTAACATGGGGTCTAGTTGGGTGAGTGTGGGTTAACATGGGGGTCTAGTTGGGTGAGTGTGGGTTAACATGGGGGTCTAGTTGGGTGAGTGTGGGTTAGAATGTGGGTCTAGTTGGGTGAGTGTGGGTTAGCACGTGGGTCTGGTTGGGTGAGTGTGGGTTAGCATGTGGGTCTGGTTGGGTACGGGTTAGCATAGGGGTCTGGTTGGGTACGGGTTAGCTTGTGGGTCTGCTTGGGTACGGGTTAGTATATGGGTCTGGTTGGGTACGGGTTAGTATATGGGTCTGGTTGGGTACGGGTTAGCATGTGAGTCTGGTTGGGTACGGATTAGCATGTGGGTCTGGTTGGGTACGGGTTAGCATGTGAGTCTGGTTGGGTGAGTGTGGGTTAGCATAATAGTCTGGTTGGGTGAGTGTGGGTTAGCATGGGGGTCTGGTTGGGTGAGTGTGGGTTAGCATGGGGGTCTGGTTGGGTGAGTGTGGGTTAGCATGTGGGTCTGGTTGAGTGAGTGTGGGTTAGCATGGAGGTCTGGTTGAGTGAGTGTGGGTTAGCATGGGGGTCTGGTTGGGTGAGTGTGGGTTAGCATGTGGGTCTGGTTGGGCGAGTGTGGGTTAGCATGTGGGTCCGGTTGGGTGAGTGTGGGTTAGCATGTGGGTCTGGTTAGGTGAGTGTGGGTTAGCATGTGGGTCTGGTTGGGTGAGTGTGGGTTAGTATGTGGGTCTGGTTGGGTGAGTGTGGGTTAGTATGTGGGTCTGGTTGGGTGAGTGTGGGTTAGTATGTGGGTCTGGTTGGGTGTGGGTTAGCATGGGGGTCTGGTTGGGTGAGTGTGGGTTAGGATGTGAGTTTGGTTGGGTGAGTGTGGGTTAGCATGTGGGTCTGGTTGGGTGAGTGTGGGTTAGCATGTGGGTCTGGTTGGGTGAGTGTGGGTTAGCATGTGGGTCTGGTTGGGTGAGTGTGGGTTAGCATGTGGGTCTGGTTGGGTTAGTGTGGGTTAGCATGTGGGTCTGGTTAGGTGTGGGTTAGCATGGGGTCTGGTTGGGTGAGTGTGGGTTAGCATAGCGGTCTGGTTGGGTGAGTGTGGGTTAGCATGGGGGTCTGGTTGGGTGAGTGTGGGTTAGCATGGGGGTCTGGTTGGGTGAGTGTGGGTTAGCATGGGGGTCTGGTTGGGTGAGTGTGGGTTAGCATGTTGGTCTGATTGGGTGTGGGTTAGCATGGGGGTCTGGTTGGGTGAGTGTGGGTTAGCATGTGGGTCTGGTTGAGTGAGTGTGGGTTAGCATGGGGGTCTGGTTGGGTGAGTGTGGGTTAGCATGTGGGTCTGGTTGGGTGAGTGTGGGTTAGCATATGGGTCTGGTTGGGTGAGTGTGGGTTAGCATGTGGGTCTGGTTGGATACGGGTTAGCATGTGGGTCTGGTTGGGTGAGTGTGGGTTAGCATGTGGGTCTGGTTGAGTACGGGTTAGCATTGGGGTCTGGTTGGGTACGGGTTAGCATGGGGGTCTGGTTGTGTATGGGAAGGCCTTGTTCTGGCTCGCTAGACTACCGCGTCACAGCGAGCATCTCATGTCCCTCTCTCCCGGCACCCTCCTGAGCGGCTCGACACGGCTCGAGACGGGGTGGGCGAGCAAACCCCGCGGGACGGGGTGAGGGGGGGGCCAAGACGAGAGCCGTTCGCTGTGGAGGGAGCGTGATGCTTGCCCCGCACGGCGGCGAAACAACAACGGAAGCTTGAGCTCGAATAAGAATAATACTGCTTTACTTTATACAGGTGAACGCGACAGCCACTGCGACGTGTCAGTGAAACAATGGCAAACATATTCGTGGAGATATGCACGGTGAGTCAGTATAGAGAGTCTATTCCATTACAGCACACGCCACGCAAACACCAAGATCCCCCGTTGAGCCTCACAGACTTGCGCGGGCACCGCTAGCGAGCACCTATTAAGGCCGGTACGGAGTGCGGAGCGGGCACGGCTGCGTCTGTCACTTCAATGCATCGCTCGGTACTCATTTAAGCCTGAGTAGACCTAGTGGTTGGCTGGGTTGGGTGGACGGAGGCGGGTGGATGGCAGGGTTGGTGTCCTGATGCTAGCGCTTGCTAGCGACGTGCGTGGCTGGGGTCAGACCCATGTTTGCTGGGTTCATAGCTCGGTGAGGAAACCACCACGCCACCCGTTTCCAACTGTGGGAAACGAAACGTAAGGGCTAAAGCTAGAGGGCCGAACTCTGTAGGGCTACACGGGGGATCTTCGTCTTTGACGCACACACACACATATACACGACTTACAAGCGCGTGTGAAACATAGAGGTAAGGCACTACAACGGCACAAACACCAGTCCAATGGTCACACAAGTTAACGTCAAACAGGGCCTTACATCAGATTATACACCTGTGAATTGTATATATATGTTTATGCTGGGCCAAACGCGAATGCATGCACACACGTGCCCAACACACAACAAATGCGCACACTCTTATTAACACAGGACACACACGTACGTACATGTACGTACACGTGCTCTCTCTCACACACGCACACACAAGCGCGCGCACGAGCATACGACCCCATTAATTTGTACTCAAAGACGATCCGCTCAGTGTGGGAGCGTTTGAAACATTAATCAAACTGGAAATTGAGCATGGTCATTTGTGCAAAGCTATCGTGTGCCGTGGGAAGGGAAGCTGTTCCACCTGGCGATGACGGCAGTTCCCCGTGTCAATTTGGATTCGGAACACTCGCCCCAAAGAAAAAGCAAAAAGAATCTACAGCCAGATGCAGCATGGGGAACAAAATCCCATCGCTCGATTCATTTCACTGCGACCGGGTTTCTTTTTTTCTCCCGCGGTTGTGCTGCGTGTCGCTCCGGTGGGCTTTCGGGTCGTGCCGCGCATCATTCGGCACGATGTCCGACGTTTCGCTCCGTGCGCTGGGAGTTTCTTCATGGAACTCGTTTGCCAAAACGTTGGGATACCACCCGCCAGAGGACGCGCGGCACAACCGCGAAAAACACGCACCGGCGGAGGGAGCCACGAACAGATATTTTTTGCATAAGGACTCCACGGCCTTGAAAGATGAGAATTGCTTATAGCAATACAAATCCCAAAACACCAACGTCTCTCACAGCAGCAGCTACGCACCCCAGGCCTGCGGGTCCTGGGCTCTCCCCCCCACACCCCGCCCCCTGGTCTGAAGCGCCTTTAAATAAGAAAGAAAGAACGCAGCGTGACGTTTTACGTGCACTCCAGCGACACCAATGTGGCCTGACCGTCGTACTCTGTTAAAATACGTCACAGAAGCGATCCTCGAAGTCTGTTATAATTCTCCCTCGCTCGCTTGCCAAACGAAGCTTCAGCCACCTTGCGTCGGACAGTGCGGGACGGCTACAAGGTGATCGCTCCAAGATGAGAGCTCGGCTGTTCCCTTCATAAAACACCAAACGAGGGGGGGGGGGGTATTGGAGAGGGAGCCGCATGGTGTTACCATCACTAATAAGTACATAGGTTCAATCCCAGGTCATGCACAGATTAATGGGGGGTGGGGGGGGGGTAATTCATAAGACACACGCGCCGCACACCACACTCTGCTGCTCTATCACGCACGCTCACACGCTATATATTTACGTACAAAACACACACAGCGTGTGTACATGAGTACTCAAGTCAATTCATATCTATCTAGAGGCATTACTGCTGGGGACACCCACGCTACACTTGTCGGGGTCAAACGGAACACGCGCGCATGTGTTGGGGTCAAGGGGTCAAGGGGTCGAGGGGCCGGGGGGTGCTCCGACGTGCCTTGCCCAGGCGGATTCAAGGGGTCCCAACACCACGAACGACGCCGAGCATAGGAAAAGACAAACTACCGATACAACCTTCCCAGTCCCGACAGACAGCGCGAATCAAAAAAATTAACACATTGCACAACAAAATTGGAACAATAACAACATCATCATACCATACCGGTTTTAAAGATCGAATCATTCGGCATCGTTTATAATTTTTTTACATTTATTTATTAATATATCATTTTCTTTGCTCTTTTTTTTCCTCGTAGGACGTCGCACAACTCTTGGAACCTTGCGGCGGGGGGGGAGGGGGGTCGTGGTGGATGGCGGAGGGACGTGGGGTGGGGAGGGGAGTGATGTTAAGCGACTCTGCGGCCGTGCGATCTCTCGCGCTCATTTCCTGTCCCGTCTCTTTGGTCTCTCGTCGAATCCGATTCCGATGCAAGCGTCGTCTTGGCGGCTGAGGACAGCCTCCCCCGTGCCTTCCTCCTCCCCCTGCTACGGTCCGTCCCGTGGCGTGCACGTGGTCTCTCTCTCTCTCTCTCGCGCTCCGCAGTCTCTCTCTGCCTCGTCTCCTCTCTCCGCACAAGGACTCTCCCCTCCTCCCGTGCCCATCGCACAGATTCATCTTCTCACTTCTGCACTTTCCCCATCTGGGATCATGTGCAACATCACTGCACCCTTTGTGTATTTAATTTTAATATTTTAACAATAGTTAAACATAATTAAAACCACACACTAAAACGAAGCAGCAAAAATATTACGCTATTATTATTAAAACTGATTAACTAAACAGTAAAAGGTTTTTGCTAAACAATGAAAATGTCTCGTTTTTCTTTTCTTCTTCTAAGATTAGGTCCTACTTTCACAGTTTGGGAAATGAGAATCGGGGCGTGGGGGGCAAAAAAAGTCGACCAAGCCACGTGCAGCAGTTTCGTCTTCTGTCGACAGTTCACGCGGCACCTCGGAGCCAGGCGGGGCCTCGCGGCCGGACCCGGCGCGGTCCTCGCGTGCACGCCGCGGCCCGCCAGGGCGGCCCCTCGCACGGCGTCACAGTCCAGGCCTCTTCCCGTTGAATCCGACAACGCGTGTTTATAATGCCTCCCGCGGCTCACTCACAATACTTAAGACACTCTCGACTCGTGTGTTGACGGACGACGGGGCCAGACACGCACGCACGCACGCACACACGGAGAGTAGGACACTCGCTAAACTCAATGATGAAAGAGAGCCCAACGTGTCATCTCCGTCACGGACGTATTTCAAGCATTTTCAATTAAATCCTCATCCCCCAGTAGCAGCACAAACTTAACATTAATAATTAACATTTAAAAACAAAACACGCCTAAAAGCCATACATATAGAGGTACACTCGATGCATAAAACGACTACAATCTGATGCGATTGTTAAGGACTCCAGTGTAAGATCCAAGCTTTGGGGCGAGCTTAACGATCCACAGACGCCTCTTGATGGATCCTCACGTGTTCAGAGCCGGCTTCTCGGCGCTGCGCCAACAGAACCCGACGCCAAGCCCACGCTTCTCCCTCGCCGGCGTCACCGGCTGGCGTGACGGCGAGCGGTCACCGCCGTGACCGCCGCCACCGCCGTCACCGCCGCCGCCGCCGCCACCATCGGCGGCGCCGCGGCGCTGAACCGCTGTGGCGAGGCGCGGGGGAGCCCGCGGTCGGGGGTTTCGTGTTAAAAAAACGACTCCGTGTCACTCTCCTTCTTTTCGTTTCCTTCAGAGGTAAGAGAACTGGCCCATCTTGGGCGGGCTGAGCGGGTACCCGGCGTAGACTGGCGACGCGCTCACGTAGGCCTGCTGTGGGAAGGGCGCCGTCGGCTGGTAGGCCTGGTGCAGCCCCGCGGGCGACGCGGGCAGAACAGCCGGGTGGTGGTGGTGCGGGTGGTGAGGGTGCGCGTGGTGAGGGTGGTGGTGCGGGTGGTGCCGGGCGACGCTCACGGGAACCTGCGGATCGCGCGGCGGGAGCAGAGGAGAGAAGAGGGGCGTGGGTTAGAGAGCGGAGAAGTGCGGACGTCGGCATTCTCCACCGTCGCACACACGTACGGCCCGCTCGTCAAATCCACTGCCGGATGAGGGCTTCCTCAGGCTGTGCAGGTCGTGGGGGTTATTCCACCGTATTTCACCGGTTGATGTGGGGGAGGGCTAGCATTGAAAAAGATATCACTCGTCACTGATGTTAGCCTTGGCCGGGAACCAAACTGATTTTGCTGGGTTCAAAGCACAGAGTGCTTGACGACTATGCCACTGCACCACGCTACCAGTGTCATTTTAATTCCCGCTTTGAAATGTAGATTTTTACACAGCATTCCCTGCTGTAAAAACAAGCAGCCCTCTTCACGCTGATTAACATAAATAAGAAAGGCAATAATACATCGAAAACCGCTTAACACAAGCTAATAAAGCTTCGGCGTTTGCATCGTCCATGTGCTGTTCGCCTTTTGCCGTTACTTGCTCCACAGCACCGGTGAGACAAAGCCATAAAAGAGGCGGTCTCCGCTTTAATCAGTTTCAAGGATAATGCTTACATTACCAAAGCATATATTTTGTATGTTGTACCATTAGCCACACATACCAAGTACGTGTGGCTAATGTGGACTTGATGCCCTATAATAGGTTTTTATTCGACGTTTGAACATCTTAACACGTCCTGTATTATTGCCAGAAAGGGTGAAAAAGCCTTGACTTATGTTTTGTGTCATCATCCTGATACAGTCTCTAGATGGGGCTACGCACCCCCCAACCCGCACAGCGTCTTGAGAGTTGCGGCCGTATTCCGGCGATGCGTAAATCCAAGTTACGACCGTTCCCCCACGCACGGCGGTACGCACTGTGACGGCGCACAGTGCTGCCGCTCAGAATAATAAGCATGCAGGTGCTGACGCTGATGCGGTAAAATACAATGAAGTTGATGTGCATAACAAAGTAACGGAACACTAACTCGAGCTTGTAAATTAAACAACGATTCACGGGCTGGTGACTGCGCGCGCGCGACCTCCAGATAGAATGATTGTGCACACGCCACGGAGATTTAAGGCGAGACATTAGAATTGCGTCTGAGTGGGTAGACATAGACCTGAACAATGCTGATCACAATAATATTAATGTGTTTATCCCCACCAACTTCACTGGGTGGGAAGACTCGTGCTCAGGTGGGTTCTGCTTGGGCGAGTTTGAACATTTCACACGTGGCATGTTTCCTGCACGGGACAGAAGCCAATAAAAAAAATCCCAAGCCTACGGAGGGACACCACTCAAAGGTGCGCATGGACAGGTTCACAACATGTCTGCTGCACTACCGCTCAGCGGGATTGGAAGTCTCACCAATCGCACGTTAATAAATACAGCCTCAGAGGAGCGGCGTTGCATGGCAGGATCATGACAGATGGCGATAACTTTGGGAGACCTTCATCGTGCAGCGATGATGATGATGATGATGACAATGCCGATGATGAAGTGGAGGGAGGTGGGGAGGGATCTTCATTATGCTACTGTTCACAATAGGGAAACCCCGAGGCCAGACATCAAAGAAGCGGGCCCATTCGTTGCAACAAACTTCACCGGGGGGCAGAGTTAGCAACAACGTAGCCTGAAACAAAATCATCGTGCACTCCGAGCCACACGACGCCTTTCAACGACGCGAAGCGAGCGACGTCAACGACGACCCCGACGCACCTGGTGGAGTAGCCCCGTGGCCGGGTGCGCCGCATAGGCGGTGGCGGGGTGCGGGTGCCCGTGGTGGTGGTGGTGGTGCGCGTGCGGGTGGGCGTGCGGGTGCGTCCCTCCCAGGTGCGCCGCCGCCATCACCCCGCCGGGCGACCCCAGCGCCGCCGCCGCGGCAGCGGCCGCCGCCGTGTAGGTGTAGAGGTGGTGGGGCTGGCTCACGGCCGCCGCCAGGTGGGCCGGCAGGCCGCCGGCGCCCCCGGGGCCCTGCGGCGTGCTCGGGCCGTGGCTCCCGAAGTGGTAGGGGGCGGCGGCGGAGGTGGGCGGAGGAGCGGGGCCGGCGGCGATGGGCGGAGGGACGGGCGGTTGCGCCATGGTGGGCGCGACGAAGGCCTGTTGCCGGCGGTGCGCGTGAGCGCCGACGCCCGGCCGCTGATCCTGCATCAGCGTGGCCTGCGTCGTCGTTTTGTTATCGACGAGGAGAAGAAAAAAAATGAGAATCCCTTCTTCAAGACTGTCAACGCGATCGCTCATTTGGGTCACGAGCAGCCAGCGGCGCTCATCTCTGTCCCACGGCGCTTTGGAGGCAAGGGTTGGTGGACCCCGTCAACGTTTGCGAGACTCTCAAACTGTCTGGGCTGCGACGGCAGCGCATCAAACAGCCTCGCGACTCAGCGAGGCATTCCTGGATACTTTAGTGACATTATACAGAAAATGTCACACGTCTTATTGCCACTCGGTATAATGGAAGTGTTGCATTCACATCTCCCGTAGGTATCAAAAAGTACAAGCACATTTCCAACTGTGTACCTACTGCTACTCTGTCTATGTACACTAACATGAAACTACAAGGTATATGATACATCTAACGTCAAACGCGACATGTTGCGTCTTCTTGGTCGACCGCCCCGCGCCAGTTTACGGAAATTCCACATTCCTATGATAGGGACCAGTCCATTCATAGGATAGCAACTTGAGTCCTAAAGCGAGGGGGTTAAAGTGAGCCGACTCTCTCACCTGGCTCAGATTGAGCGGCTGCTGCTGCTGGAAGGGGTTTCCACGCGTCTGCACCCGGCCCGAGGAGATGCCAATCCCTTTCACCTTGCCGTGGTGGACCGCGACACCTGGGTGAGCGAGGAGGCACACAGAAACAAATACCAGCCGTCTTGGAGGAACCTCAAGAGAGTCGCAGAAATTCACCACTGCACCGCCCCCCCCCCCCCTTCCCTTGTTGCGAAGGTGCGATGAATCGCCCCAATTCACTGTCAAGACGCAATTAAAGAATCGGTTGTCTGTTTTGTCTCGTTGGTACAGTCGCTACTTGCACGAGGCTACATAATGGGCGAGTGATATCCGAACCAACCCTGCTCTCCGCGCCCCCCTCCCCTATTACCAATCCTTTATGAGCTAGTGTGGGGAATGTGGCCCATCAACTCCCTTGGCTGGGGGCGGCTTCATCCAGCAGCGGATTGACAAAAGGCAATCTACCAACAGGACCTGTTACACCTCGTTGGTTCTACACAATATAATCATCATCATCAACATCATCTGCCATGATCAATTCATTGTTGGATGAAATCCTTCCCAAGCTGTTACCATCTCTTAGGATCCTATGATGCAACTATCCGTCTGGCTCCTTGCGCACACGAGCCGATTTCATTGCTCCATCTCCGCAGTGGTACCCCCTCACAGGCATGTTCTCTACATTGGCTATCACTCCCTTGTAAGTCTCAAGCACCGGTCTTCATCCCTTCCAGCAAGAACTCCAGCCAAAGCCCACTTATACTTTCGTTACCAAGTCATATAAATTACACAAATCGAAAAGACTCAATTACTATAACCACAATTCACTGCACACATTATACGTATAAGAGATTCTAATTCATAAAGTGACATCACGTAACGACCTCTATTCAGAAAGCAAACTAATTATTTTGTAATACTGCTGCGTTAGCACAGGTGCACAAGCACAAATAACAAAAAGTCACGCTCGTCAATAACACAGCCATAAAATATAAATATATAAAGATGGAATAGGCTTTTGAGAACCAGGTGAGAGCTAACTTGGGACAGAAAGTGCTTTTTTTGCACGGGAGACCTTGGGTTGAAACACAAGGAGGCAAATTCCACAATAGTTTTAATTAGTTTTGAGAGTTAATGTTCACCCAGCTCTCGGCACAAACAGCCACGAGGACTGCAATCTACCAACAGGACAATCAACGAGCCCCTGGCAGGGTGCTTGCCGGGGGTAAGGAAGCATCTGGGCCGGAGCACAGAGCTCCCCCCACCCCCTCCGCCACCCCCCTCCATCCCCGATTGATTTCGCCACTCCGGGCAACATCACAGGGGGCATGAGCACAGTGGGCGAGGAATAAACTTGTTTTAAAGTTGCTAAATAAAGCGACAAATGCCCAGAATTAGACGTGACTTCTGCGAGCGTCATCAAAACAACATCCGGCTTTAGACGAGTTACAGGTCCAGTGTCGGAATTTCCCTACGCAACGGATGAATCGGTTTCGCTTGGCTACGCACATCCCGCGTCGTCACCTTGATTAACTGGACATCTGTGAAAAAGAGCTTCATAGCTCATCGGATTCCTCCAGTCTAAATAAAGATCCTGATTAACTGTCGTGGTACAGACTTCACGAGGCATTGTGACCAGCAGACAATATGGAGCAGGCCAGCTGGACCAGCCATGTATAGAACCGACGACCTTTGACCCAAGTAAAAATAATAGGATCAGTGAGGTATGACTGCAACATATAATTTGTGGATGTTGGATATATTAATCATATTTGCAATAATGCTAAAAGCCCTGGCAGAGACGCGAGTTGCGTGGTGTTTCCTCTAGACGCGATAAATAAAAAGGCTACGCAGATTCCTCTAGGTTCTCGGAATTACAGAAAACGTTTCTCAGCCTTGATGCTGACCTGTGATTGTAGCACTTATCTTGCGGAGACCCACCCAAGGTAAACAACACAAGCTGGAATTATAAAGCGAGCGCCTACCAAGATGCTTTCCTAAGGGGAACCGAGAGGTCTTGGGAAAAATAATGTTTTAAAATGTTATTTAAGGGATGCAGCGGACATTGGTAGGGTTGTACAGGGCAGATGATGGTGCTAGTTTTATGCTCGTTTGGCCATGCATTACGCACGTAACAACGCATCTCTTTGTTGATTGAAATAAATTCTACCGCTCATGACACATGCATCGAACCGTGCGCCTGTGACAAGGAACGATTTACGACTTATGCAAATTGCATGCACAATGCAACACAGTTGGCAAAACTCTGCAGACGAGCCAGAACTGACAGGAAACAATACAAAATAGACGGCAAAAAAAAAGACAAACTTATTTTGGAATCCGGTTGTGACCCTGTACAAATGAGACGGGACCGATGCGGGAAGTCAACCGAGGCGGCCAACGCGAGATGAGAAAACCAATGGCCTCTCGAGCCCGCCTCGTGACAATCCGCCGATTCACCACCGAGAAGACGACCGCCGATCGTTTGCGACGCCCCTGCAACGCACCGCCGGCGCGGTCTCGTCAACGCCGAAACGCAGAACCGCGTCGGGAAAACAGCAGGGAAGGGGAGGGGTTTCGGGGGGGGGGACGCACCGTTAGCGGCGAGCAGAGAGCCGCCGTCGGCCTCCGATGCCTGCGTCTTGAGAGGCGGCACGATGATGGTGCGCGAGTTTGCGCGGTGCAGCGACGACGACGATGACGACGACGACGGGAGGAGCGACGACGACGAAGAGGATGACGACGCCGACGCCGCCAGGGCGGCCGCCGCCGCCGCCGAGGAAGGGGCGGCGCCGGTGCCGCCGGGCAGCGCGAGGTGCTGGCCGGCGGCGACGGCGCCCGACAGCGCCGCGACGGTGGGGCGCCCGCCCAGCGGCAGGGGGCTGGTGGTGCGGGACGAGTCCGAGTCTGGCGAGTCGTGCACCGTCACGCAGCTCACCACGTTCTCGCGCTGCTTGGACAGAAGGCTGCATGGGGAACGCGACGCACGCACGTCAATTGGGAACGCGACGCAGCAGCAGCGGCAGCAGCCACCAATCGCCAGATATCGGGTTTGAAAACTAGGTTCCAAAGATCCGTGATTTGGCTCGGTTTCTCAAGCACAGCGAGCCGATTGGTCTCAGTCCAATCGCCAATGACTGCAAAATTGGCAAATGTCCAGCGCTGATATTTAAAAAAAATATCCATCATACGGTGCAACGATCTCACTGTAGAGGCCAAGAGCGGGAGTGTTCAGAATACCTGTGAGAAGGTGGGTGACGATGTGGGCGAGAGAGAGGGTGTGTCAGGAGGTGGGTGACGATGTGGGCGAGAGAGAGGGTGTGTCAGGAGGTGGGTGACGATGTGGGCGAGAGAGAGGGTATGTCAGGAGGTGCGTACCTCGTGGAAGGGTTGGCCCCGTTCCCTGCTCCAGCGCCGCTGCCCCTCTTCACGGTCTTCTCGTCCTCCTCGTCGTCCGTGTCGCTGCTGATGGTGATGACGCTGATGGCCGGGCTCGGCGTATCGCGGATCACAATCGGCTGCCTCGGCTGCCTCGGGTAGCTGGCACCGCCGCCGCCCAGCCCGGCGTCGCCCAGCCCGGCGCCGCCGCCACCGGTCGCCCACACGCCGCCTCCTCCTCCGCCCGCCGGGGAAGCCATCGCGGCACCGACCCCGCCGGCGCCCAGGGTCCCCGCGCTTACGCCGTGCCCGAACAACGGGCCGTCGCCAATCATCGCCGCCGCGGCCGCCGCGGCCGCCGCATTGGAGGCCGCGGCGCTCACAGCGGCGCTGTGCGCGGCCGCGGCCGCGCTGGCGGTGGTAGCGGTGGTGTAGTAGCGCGAGCCGGAGCTCTCCTTAGCTCGCTTGGATCGCAGCGGAGACTGCAGGCTCATGGGCTGCGACAGACTCATCTCGTAGTGTGACCTGCGGGAGAAGCAAAGCGATGCGCGATGACGCGCCGCTGCCCTTCGTCCCACCGCCCGCGCGGCACGCGGCCGAGCGACAAGCCCGGCAATCAGAGTTCGATTCCCGGCAACGGCTCATGTCAGCGGAGACTGCATCTGACACAATTACCGTGGTCGACACGAGCACGAGCCGTACTGACCGGCGATGGAAGTATGCTTAAACACACCGCACGACCGACATGGCGGTCTACTGACAACAAGATGTAGAGGGGGGGGGGGCTTCCAAAACTCGAGTGTTCATTGTCGCACCTCGCGTGACGTTTCCCCACTTGCAAAACAAAATACCAATTGTGGATCGCACGGATGTACTGAGTTGCATATTTGACCTAACGTAATTCACGAGCCCGAATAAGCGAGTCTCAACATTCACCCAGCAATGGGTCGACAAGAGAGGCAGCAAGGATATAAAAATAAGAGGAAAGAATTACCTAAGAGGTGCGGGCCAAACGTCACCCCGCGCCCACCTGGCAGACGATGCGTGCATCAGCTGCCGGTTCTTCTTGGCACTGGCGGACGAAGACACGGCCGACGCGGCCGACGACGAGATGGGCTGCTGGCGCATGACGTGCGCAACCCCCACGCTCAGAGGCTGCCCGCCGGGCAGCGCCATGTGTCCCGAGAGCAGGGGCTGCTGCACCAGCGCGTTGTAGTGCGGTCCGTGCGCGTGGGCGCTCCTACGGTGGCGGCGGAAGTGGAAGGGGTGGTGACTGTTAGAAAGCGGTGGACTACGTGGTTCAGAGCGATATTTAACACGTAGGCTTTCGCGACCAATATCATCTATAAGAGGTTTTTTTTTGCGATCTAATGCAACAAAAAACCCTCTCTTAGAGAGCGATATTGTTTAATTCGTTATTTGGTGATGATCCAGCTGCTGCTGCGTTGACAGTGGCGGACGAGCACAAACAACAACCAAAAAACTCAACACGTTCATCAATAACACCGCGGCCTTAAAAGGAAAAAACATATATAACAGGTGCCGTTTTGGGCAATGGCCCTTCTTTGTAGCACGCGAGTTCAAACGTTCACACTTTATTACGTTGTGCCAACATAACCAGCATGTGCCAGCATTTGTGATGGCCAAGACCACCAGAGTACTCGCACTCATTCGCTGGAGAAGTTTAAACTTGATTTTCTTTGAGAATTTTCCAGGCGCCTGGAAGTGGTCACGGCAGGAACTTCACCGACCCACAGCGGGAATTCATCCAGAGTCAAGATTCCTGCTATTTACCTTCGTGGTTTTAAATGTTTACAAAACAAACAAGAGATCCTGGCTCCGTGTCACATCGAAAGGGGGCACCTGCTGCACGGCACGCACACAACCACTCTTTCACAGCCGATTCAATGTTTGTTTTAAAAGTTATCGCCGAGCTTCTGTTGATATTGATCGCAGACTCACAATGCCTTTATTGTTACCAACGTTACGTAACGTGCACCTTTTCACTGCTGCTGTAATGTTACCCTGTTCGTGACGCGCTTGCGAGGCTTATTATAATTTGACGGTGGTGATGGAAATTTATAGTGGTTCTTGGTGGTTGCAATGCCAATGGTAAGGATGGCTACTCATAGTGTTGGTAGCGACAATGGTGATGATTGGTAGTGGTGTTGGTAGTGATTAGTAATTTCTTAATAGTGATTTGTACTGATTGGCAAGTAGTAATGGTAATGATGATTATGATTACTGCATCAATAGTTCAAAGACAATCATTGGTCGTAATGTTTATAGTAACAATGACAATCATTGTTAGAGGTATTGGTAGTAGCAATGATTATCACGACAATCACCTATTTTAATACTTTTCTCGACAGCGTCCCCCATGGAGATGGAGCATTTAAACCAGTTCATGTGCAGGTGCTGGATGAATTGCTGCATCGCAGGATTGTGGATCGATGATGGTTCACGATGATGACGACGTCTACAGCGGCACAACGCAACATCCCCTGGGCCTAACTCTGTCGTTCGATTTCAGACGCCCCACCCCCCCCCCCTCGTGCGCTCACTCACCTCCAGTCGGGGATGCCCTGCGTGCCGCCCATGCCGTCCGGCAGCCCCGGGTGCTGCACGGGCGCGTGGGCGGGCACCGTCGGGATCTGCTGCCAGGTCGGGAGTAGGATCTGTTGGGTGGCGGGGGCCCAGCCCTGAGCGTGACACGGCGAGCACACACGCAGACATGAGGCGGGGGACGAGGACAGCGGGGTGCTTCTCAATTCGTAACGGTGGCTGCGAAAGGAGCTTTGGGAACAACGCGGCCGGAACGCGGGGATCGTTGAGGCCGTGATTTATGAGCGTGGCGCGCGGCGTTTCAACGGCGGTCGTTCGATCGGTGCGCGAGCGGACAAGGGCCGCACGCCCCCTCCGCCCGCCAACCTCCAACCTCCCTCACCTGTGCGAGCACCCCGGGCTGCAGCTGGAGCTGCTGAGCGGTGGCGGGCGCTTGCGTGACGAGCGGCACGGCGTTCTCCACGCGCACGGAGTAGCCCGCGTGCTTGGGCGGCGAGGCCTGTAGGCCTGCAGGCCAAGCGAGGGGGTCACGGAAACGTAAAATCAGCGACCGGCGGTGGCGGTGGAGGTCAAATTTACGGCGGGGCGGCTTTCGGGAGCAGCCCGCTGAAATCTCTGACACGCGGGTAAAGCAAGAGAAACGAACTCAAGCGAGAAGCGGCGCGCGGGTGCGATCGTGTGCGCGTGCGTGCGTGCTTGCGTACGTGCGTGAGTTTGCCAGTCACCCTGGAAGGTGGGCGGACAGACGATGAGTGCCTGCTGGTAGGGGTCGTGTCGTGCAAACGGCCCGGCCGCCGTGGCACCCGGCGCCGGCAGCGCCATCCCGCGCTGCGCCAACGCCGCCACCTGCCCTCCCGCAGCTGAGGCCTGCGAGCCGAGACGGTGGAGGGCGGGGGGGGTGGGGGGGACAGGGGAGATGGGGGATGGTGGGGAAGCAGGTGTTTTGTGAGTGAGCCATTTTTCCTACTGCATGATTTATTAGTGAAGCTCGGGTGACAGAGCTGCTTATTGCCTTAAACAAGTAATTATCTTATTCTTAGTTTTTTCGGTAAAGTCACGTTGTTTCTCTTCAACGTGACTTTACCGAAAAAACTAAGAATATGAATTACTGCAGTCACGAAAGCTTTAAATCAAAATTTAAGTAATTATCTGTTCGTGTGAAATATGTCGCCAGTCCCGATAACTTCATTGTGAGAAACAGAGGGATGTGTGTGTTGGGTGCACGTTTTATTTGTGCGTGTGTGCGCATTGGGTGTACGTGTGTGATGTGGGGAAGAGGAGCGTAGTTGTTGCTGCACGCACTGTGCAAATAACTCTGTGTTTCGGGGTTGATTTCTGGCAGCGGACCATGTCAGTGGCAAGTGGTAGATGAACATGTACTGGGCATCCTTTAAGTTGACTGAGCCTTAAATGAGGGCTATGGTAAGACAGCTCAGATGCGGTGGGGTGCCATGCCTAGCGTAACAAATGTTTGCTTACAGCAATTGTCCCAACAGTCTGTTAGCATACAGGTGGCTCTTTGCCCGAACGGTATCTCTGAAGGAGAGTTCGCAGTGGCATTCTGCGGTGCGCTTTGCCGCGCGGCACTGCATTTTGTCCAGCACGACGTTCGACACACGGTGGCGAGATGTTAACTACCATCCCTGGTATACAGAAGGCTGTGGGTTCGATCCCGCTGCCTGTATATTTGGAGTTTGCATGTCTCTCTCTCTGCCCGTGGTCGCATGGATTTTTCTCCGGGTCCTCCGGTTTTCCCCTCCACGTTTAGAATCAACATTCATTTTGAGTATTTCGCTGCTATTAATTTCCACATAAGCCACTTCGTTGAGCTATCAGTTGTGGCCAAGTCACTTCTGAAAAAGAGCTACGTAGCTCATTGGGGCCTTACCTGGTAAAATTAAAAATAGTTCATAGTTTAGTTTTAGACATGGGAATTCCCGTCGTTATCGAGGGTTACGGCGGGCGCTATCACAAACAGCTCAACGCTCGGCACTAACGAGGTGCCGGCACGGACCGACCTGTGCGTGCGAGCTGAGGTGGCTGTTGAAGGTCATGGTGAGGTTGTTGGAAGTGCTCGGCGCCACGTGCGCCATGAAGGGCGTCTTGCTCTGGTTCAGCCGCTCGTACATCCCCACTCGCCTGCGGCATACCTCCATGTTCTGGAAGCACGCCTTGACGCTGCACGATGCGCGGGGGTTGGAGGGGGGCGCAGAAGGAACTGTTGAAGGTGAGGCCCCGCGGGCGCATGCTCTCGCCACTGCAGGTGGAAGGGCCTCCCTGCTGCTGCTGCAAACTCCCCCGAGAGGGAGATTCCCCCCCCGCCCTCCCCCCCACCAAGAGGCTAAGTGGCCTATTTGTCCAAGACGTCTTGGAAGTGTCACGAGTGCCCACGGTTTACCCCAACACGTGCGACCCGCCGATCGATGAACTGTGGCGTAGCCGTTTATACTGCTTGGTGGACAGAGGTGGGGCTGGGATTTAGGACACGTGCCCGACACTGGGAGATCAAACTGGAGACCTCTGAAACGCAACTCGGCCTCTCTGCTTTTTTGTGCATAGTTTGTTGTCCTTCCCCGCACCTCCGATTAACACCGTTGGCTACTTACGGTGCGAAATAAGTCCAACGTGCATGCATGCTCCGTGAAGAGGGGAAATTGCCCGAAACATTGCCTATTCTAAGTATTTTTTTTAACAGAATAGTGGAAAATATGTTAAGTTTTGTTATGGATTGCGGGTCCAGTGTGCTAACCATTAAACCAAGGAAACACCCCATGAATTGGGGGGGCAGCTGGCTCCACAAGTGCTGGCCTTACTTTACCACTGGTTCCATACCTCTAAGTCAGTGGCGAGTAAAACTGTCTCCTTCCTGACAGCCAAGTAGAATTATTCAGTACCTTTGGAGGGCACCCGCGCATGAGCACACACAGGGCCTCTTGCAGCGACAGAAGTGACCAACATTAGAAAGGCAGTGTTGTTGACAGGTCGTACAAAAATTCCCCCCCCGAGTACTTTACTAGTGCTGCCCGCGGCGACGCACAAATATAATTTGCGGCCTTTTTCTAAGCGGTAGGCTTCACGCGGCCACAGGCCGTGTGAAGCGAAGTCGTGGGCTGTGCCTGGCTCATGGTTTAGGGTCTTTTCACGGCTGCTTGAGCAGCAGGGCATGTGAGAGACTGCCTCCTCCCCGCAAGGTGGACAAAGGTCATATTGACGGCCTAGGCAGCAGTTCTATAAAAAAATATGCTTCCGCAGGCTGCTCTCCAACAATCGGGAGGTTGCGAGCGTTTCAAACGGACGCTTCATCTCACGACACGACGGCGATAACAATCTATGAATCAGGAAGTTAGAAAAACATAAGTAAACTAAAAGTTATCGGCTGCGTCGCCGCTGCGCTCACTGGTTGCTGTGCGGGTAGTCGAGTAGGTGCTGCATGGTGACGAACGGGTGGCCCAGAGTGTCGAGCGGGGTGGTGCGCTTCTCGGCGTCGATAGTGAGCATGCGCTTGAGCAGGTCGATGAACTCCCGCCGGTCGGCCTTCTCCGCCAGCATGTCGCTGCTCTCCAGCTCGGAAGCCACGTTCACCTGCAGCAATGAGGACAAATGTGACGCCCGGCGCACAGCGCAAAAAACTTGCACGTGAACGCAGCTGGCCAAACGCCCTCTATAGCAGGGCTCTCCAGAGCTCCCTCGAGGGAGGCAAGGCTGCACCTTTGGTTACTGCAGGAGGATGATGCTCCACAAACCATTGCAAAAAGCAGTTGGATCGTATTCTTGGTTAGCCTCCACATTTTTCATAATTTTGTTCAAAATGATTTTATTGAGCAATTTATAAATGTGCGACAAGAGGCAAAGAGGCGTGCATCCAGCAGTGGACTGATCACAAGTCATCATAGTGACGAGGATGATGAGTGATTGGTTGCTGTCATATGTATTCTATGCATTGAATATTGCACGTCAGTCCGTCGAGCCACTGTAAATCTCTAGGAATTGAGATAATGCTTGACGGGCGAAAGGCTCCGCATAAAAATAAAACTTACGATGGCGTAAAACAATTGAATTCTGCATTTCAATGCAAAAGACTGCGAATACGATTCAAGCATTCATGTAAATGTGAACACGGCTGAATAATTCCATGCCATGGCTCTCGTGCATTCGTATTTTTTCAAGACTGATAAACTGATAGACGGAGATTCATGTACTTGATGGACGCAAGCTCCGCCAGGGTTGTATGAATACAGATCGGATTTATGAGCTACGATTGCTCGCTTTGATTGACAAACACGCCGCGGCAATCCAAGCCAAGACCGGGTGCTTATTACAAAAGAGAAGTGTCAGGGCCAATCAAACGCACGCCCCCATAACGCCGCTCCACGGAGGAAAACGACGGCACCACATGACGACGGATTTGGCTACAGCTCCCCGCTGCTAAAAGAATCCCTTCAACACGACAGATGACGACAGCCCTTCGCACAGACGTTTGTTTGGATCGGACCACACCCAGCGCAGGACACGAGCTCCGGCGCAGTTACACGCGCAACGAACGCACAGCCACCGCGTCTCACACGCCCGTTGCCCACCACCCCCGCGCCCCCCCCCCCCCCCCCTTCATGGCTTCCTGTTCTTACCCAGAGGGGACACCTAACGTAGCTGACACCTAACCTGGTGTAATCGTGGATGACGAATCCAGAGTTGAAGAGTAAATAAGGACTGAGTTTGAGGATGCGCCTGATAGAGACGGCACTGGGGCCTGGGGGGCAATAGAGGAGAGAGTTGACAGCCGAGGTGGCAGTGGCACCCACATGACCAACGCAGTTCAGGGATAGACGATGAAGTTGACGGGGTAATACGCAAGAGTGTACTTGTCCACGTTGGTCAGTGCAGGTTGGTGAAGGGTCACACCTGACATGGTGATGATACACGGATGGCTACTCACGTTCACATGCGCCCTGCCACTGGAGAGTTGCCAAAAAGACAAAGCCCCACCGTGTGTAGCCTATACAGGCCGTAGAAGGGCAAGTGCTGTTAGCGAGCGCCTATGAAGGCCGGAACGGCACACGAAAGGCTGGGTGGTCAACACCACACCCGGTTTACACACCGCACCAGGTATTTATTTGAGGCCGAGTCGCCCTAGGAGGAGGCCCAGGACCTGTTCAGATAATCATCACCGGTGTGGGCCATAAGCAGGAACCGAACTCGGGTCGCCGGGGATGTCGGACGGCACGCTAACCGCTATACACTCGCGCGCTCCCAGGATGGCAAGGCGCACACACAAGCAAGCCCAACCCCTCACCTGTGCCATATCATCCAGGCAGTTGAAGATGTACTTTCGAGCCTCCTTTGACTTGATCCCCGTCTCCGATTCGTGCTCCTCCGGCGTCTGCATGTATAAGTGTGCGTGAACGAGCACAGTCAAAAGGCAGCAAATGATGAGAAATGACTCAACGCTAGGGGTCAAGGTCGGGCATAAACCACGGGTCATTTTAGTGTGGGGGGGGGGGGTGAGACAATCTTGTGGCTCCCAAATGTTTAACGCGGTGTGAACTCAAACGCCGCCCCCTTGGTTGATGGCGGATCGCCGCTGGCGCGCGAACCTCGCAGGGTCGTTACCGTCACTGCGCTGTGCTCACCTCACGGTTTGACGCACATCAAAGTGAGACCGCTACCAAATAACAATAGGGCGCTCGTTCCCCAACCCCCCCCCATTTAAATAGACACAGGGACCGCACACTCTGCGCAAAGGATTTGCTCAGAGAGTCCAATAAGTCGCAAAGCAGTTGTGCGCCTCCCTTTGCACGTGGACAAAGGACAATGGGCACGCACAGAGGAAGCCGGGCTGGGGAAATTAAGCTCTTTATTGCGTTAACAGAAAAAAAAACTACAGCGCGGTGCAACGCTCGTATTGAAAACAACAAAAAAACGCGACAGAATGTGTCAGTCGGGCACGTGACAGGATTAACCGGTTGTACCCCTACGCAGACTATTTCATTGTTCGCATTTTTAACAACCGATTGTTTTGTTGTTGACACGAGGCTGAGGCTAACCGATACCGCACGCGTGACAAAGACAAGGAAATTGTACGCCTTGCTGGCAGTACATTATTATCTCGGCCGGCATACGCACGCCTCGCTCTCGCACAGACACACAAGACACCGTCCTGCTATCTCCGCTGCCGATTTACAATTAACCACAAACAGACAGGTGCCCCCCCCCCTTTTTTTACCCGTCAAAGGCCGGGGAGACTCATCCATTATTCCAAAGCGCGTCGTCCGATTAAACAGGAACGACCCGGCCGGCAAGTCGCCTTTACTGCCCAGAACCGGTCAGCGGCAACCTCCATCATCCCAGCGCCGTGGCGCCACAGCACCCCCCCCCCCCCCGCTTAATTGGCGAGGCAATTGCGCGGTGCTGCTGCTACTGCTGCTGGGAGCTGGTCGGCTCTCTCATCCACCGCTACCGCTCCCCCTCCCACTCCAACCCAGCTCGCGCCACCGCCCGCCGCCTGCCGTTCGCGAGCATTAACGAACGGATCGGTTACATTTAAGTGACCCTTTTTTTAGCAGTGGGGAAGGGACGGCCGCGCTCGCGTGTCCATTTTCAATGCGCGAGCGCCCAGCGCACGCAAGTAAAGCTGCGGTGGAGGCTGCTGCGGCAGCGGCGGCGGCATGGTTGTTTGGAGCCGAATGCCGTATACCGCGCGTGGCGGAAACACCTTTGCACGTTGCTCCTATGCAGCACTCTTGGTGCGGAGCAACGACCCAGGGCACCTTACTACAAAAACTCTTTTACAATATAAAACAAATTGTCGGCCAATCAATCCAGCTCACGGACGAGGTAACACAAATCCAGATGAGTATTAACATTTTGAAGATTCGACTCCTGCTGCATGCGATTTTGGGCCCCACGAGTTCCAAAGGCAGGAAGCATAAATTACAACTCACGGCCCTTCCACCCCCCCCCGCCCCGATGTTAAACGCCTACACTTACAGCCCTGGGTATTGATCCACTGCTGGATAGGGGGCTCCCCCTACACCGTCCGGGTAGCTTGCGGCGATTTTGTCCACGCATTACCAGGACCCTTTTAGCACCGTGATAAATCCGTAATGGACAACTATGGAGCCCGGTGCCTCGCCCTCGCCGTCAGCAGTGATTGGAGCGGTCACGCGGTCGATGAGTTTGCGAGCGACTCTTCCCGTCTCCGTGGACACTGATCTGACCAGGAAGGTGTAAGCTGCCGGTTACAGCATGCGAGGTGAGCGCACGTACACCCCAAGAGGCCTTTTGTCAATCCGCTGCTGGAAGAGAGCCTCGCCAACACTGCGCAAGTCACGTGGGTCATTCTGACCACACTTTGCCACGCTGGTCGGTGCAGTTGAGTTTATGTGATTTGTCACGCGGATGATTCCGTGTAGCCAGTCGCCCGGCTGTTTCACAAGGGAGAGCGTGGTGAAGGCAGGAGGCACAGAGACGTCAGAGTTTGATGGTTTGTGCTGCACTGACAATGTAGTCCCGTAGCAGCCGATAGCACCCTGTTTTGTATGCATGGTCGTGGCCGCCCATCCAAGGGCCATCCAGGCTCAACCCCGATTTAGCTTGCGAGCTCTGACGAGATCGGCGCATTCCGGGTGATTTGTTCGCAGGCGCCCGGTTATGTGCGACGTTTCTCATTAACAGCGTTCAAGTCCAGGCTCGCAATCTTCCCCGCCTCTTCTGCCTACGGCCGACCGAGCCTTCTCTCAAACACGGACATCGTGTGCGCTTACACTCATATCCCTTCCTGGTCACACACACGTCCCACCGCTTCGTACAGCACCGTGGGATGTGGCTGCATTTAGACACACTCGACGTCCAAATTGTATAACACACAGAGAAGGGAAGAGTCAAGTGTGAGCTCCAACTGTGAGTTAGACAACCACTCTGACAGAAGGGTCATTGCCTGAACTCGTAAGCCTGGCACAGTGGTTTGTGTGATGACTCTAGCGACCTGAATTCAATTCCGGGCAACGGATAACATACCCTGGCAAGATATCTGAACCGGTCTCTCGGCCTTTCTCCCTTTCACCAACAAGCACTGACCAGCGTCGTAAAGTATGGTCAAACAACCCCCATGAACGACACGGCACGGGGAAGGCCTTCATCCAGCAGCGTTTTGACAAAGTGCTGTGAATCATTATAATGTAATGTTTTATAATATATTTACAAGGCTGAGTTAATGTTCATGTTATTGGTTTATGTGCACCACTGCTACCACAGCCCTTTAATTTATTACTATTATTACGTGACTTACGCACAACTGCTCCACATTCAATCGCTTTTGGTTTAGCATAAACTTTGCCGCAGCGCTTGCACCGTGGCATTTATGCACAATATTTCTGTATAATTACGCATAAAGTAGATAACGGGCACAGCTTGGGACGGCAGCTGGAATCAATGCGCCGCAAGTGACGAACCAAAACGCGCAAACAATTCCATCCGTCAACGCCGACCTAAACATTGCTCGGCGACCTGCAGACTTTATTTTTTTTTTAAATGTTTCGCGAAAATATATATCGCGGGAGGGTAGGGGAGGGGGAGATTGAGAGTACGAGAGCCGCCAAACAACAAAAACGGCTCTGGATGTTCTCGACATGTGTTGAGGCTTGATGCGAGCCTCCCGGACACCGCTGGGCAGTGAGCACGAGCGAAGAGAGGAATGCGTGGCGTTCCCCTCCCAGCCGCTCGCCAGAGTTTCATGTCGGCAAGCTGTCTGGGGCCGTGGCTCCGGCGGGCTCGCGCCGAAAAGCCCTCTCGGATTTTAATAACGTTCAACTCTTGCTTATTCGTGTTCATTTACCAAATTTAACAAGTGGCTGGGAACTGCGGGTTATGTAATGAGAGGTTGAGTTCTCTGCTGGGTGAAATTACAGCCCGATTCCTTAGCAACAACAGAGTCCCTGTGCACTCAACCCAAGGTATGTACCGAGTACACGCACGCACACGCGCACACACACACACAAAGATAGAGATCCACCATATAGCCTTTAACAGACTGTTGGGGCAAATGCTGTTAGCGAGCACCTATTAAGGCTAACACAACGCGGAAGGGGGTGGGTGGCCAGCACTGTCCCCAACCGCCTTTGTCTCCCCCAATGATCGATGTTTACACACCGCAACAAGTACTCATTTAAGGTTTCAGATGTTCATCACCAATGTTGCCTGTGAGCAGCAATTGAATTTGGGTCGCCGGGTCTGGAACTCAAGAACACCAAGCGCTACACTCCTGCTCCCCACACACACGCAGCGCCGTGCGCGTACGCAGACACACGCACATATTTTACGGTAGGGCTTGATACAGGAATACCGCTGATAGCATTCAAACATAAATTCAGGGTGACAGCGTAAGGGCAGCGTGTATAATCTCTAAGCGACGTCACCGTGGCATTTCCACCTCCACAGTTGTAGCGAGACGCACGGCCAGGCCAGTTACGAGCGATCTGGATAAACAGCACCTGAGCCCTGAAATAAAATAACAAAAAAACTTTTCCCTTTTAATGGAGATGTCTGGGCTCAAACGTTTTCACCATGCAGCCCGGGCATTTTTGTTCGTGTCGAGTTATATAATATACAGCAGGGGGCTATGCTGTCATCGGTGGGCAGTGCAACAAATTGAAAGTCGTACTGTACTACGCTCCAATATCTACACTCCCCGCCGCCACCAACCCGCACTCACGAGCGTGGCAAAGTAGAACGCTCAAGTGACCCCCCCCCCCCCCCCCCCCCCCGACGAAGGCCCTCATTCCCAGCAGTGGATCGAGAAAAGGGACTGCGCACCTACAGAATCCTCGAGTGGACCATCGGGAACGTAGGAAACCCGCGGCTCGTTTCCGCGCAGCCTCCTGGTGGCTACAGACAGTGCCCACCGTCGGCCTTAATGAAGCCACCGCCGCAACGGTATCGATTCGCCACATTAGCCAGAGAACCGGCAGACATCGGCACCAGGCGCCGAAATTCACCACCCCCACCCCCCACCCACCACGCATCGGCCAAGCGTCTCCAACAACAACAGCGGCACAAACCCGAGCACGTGAATGCCGGGCCACACGCTGCGCATTCCCGGCAACTGCCGGACGCGGAATATCGGAACGGAACGCGGCGGGGGGGGGGGGGGTCGGCGGCGCGGAGAGGAGAGGAGGGAGCGGTCGCAGAGATGGCGACGGAGAGCAAGGAGTGACCTCCCTCCATCCCTCCCTCCCACGCCACATACTAATTGGCATGATTATTTGGGATTGTGAAAGAGGCTTCATAAATACATTTTCTTTTCTATCTCGTATGAACCATCTTGTTTGTACACCTTTATTTTATCCGTTGCTGTAAATTCTGGCCTCTATGTGCCATGAAGAAGGGCCATTGCCCGAAACATCGACTATCATATATGTTTCCCTTGGGACCATGCAGTGTTGTTATTGACGAACACGTAAAGTTGTTTGTCATTAATGCTTGTGCACCACTGCCAATGCAGCATCACCCAATAAACCGTTACCGTATTTGTAAACTCAGCATATAATTTCCATAAATAATTGACGAGCCGATACATAATTACAAGCCCAGTAAGTATGGAAGGAACAGGCCCAGACACGTCCACCGTGTAGACGGAGCGATCAAACAACATCGCGTTTAGCAGATAGATTGCTGCATCCCAACACCGTGAGAGATGACGGATTGGGAAGGCCCACATCCAGCAGTGATGTTGAGCATGGTTGACGATGACGGTTGTGACGGCATGTTGGGATAGCAACAGCATGGGAAGACCTTCATCGAGTCGTAGATACATCATGTCTGATGAGGAAGATGATGATGCACAGGGGCAGCTGATAACTCGTAGGGATGGCGATGGCTTGCGAAGGAGGATGTCATCCAGCAGTGATAAGAGCATGGTTGACGATGATGATGAACGGTGGTGGCTCAAATCACATCAGGATGGTGCTGGCTTGGCAAGGCCTTCACCCAGCAGTAAAGAGAGCATGGCTGATTGATGATGGTGATGAAGTAAGGTGGTGGACGAGGGAGTGTAGCGACAGTGAGAGGCGCGCGCAAGGCGATGAGGCCCAGCGGTGCCGGAGCATGGCGGTGGCGTTACCTTGAGTCTCCAGAGTGGGAAGGCCGACTCGGGGTCACGCTTGAAGAAGCGTGTCGTCTTGGTACCCGCGCTCAGCAGGTACTCGGCCGGCAGGCCCTGCGTCTGTGAGATGTAGCGGATCTGCGTGCGGGCATCACGCGGGAGAAAAGTATTATGAGCACCGTTGCTGTCCTTCGCTCTTAGGCCTCTTTGGCCTCGCACCTCACCAACTCCCCGATGAAATGATCGATTGAGAAATACTATTTCTTGGCATAATCCGCTATCGGTGTTTTGCAGCGCGGGCCTCACCTGGTCGTACTCCGAGGCTCCGGGGTACAGAGGCCAGCCCAGGAAGAGTTCGGCGATGACGCAGCCCAAGGACCACATGTCGATCGCCTCGCAGAATGGGAGCCCGAGGATGATCTCAGGAGCCCTGTCGGAAAAAATAACAAAGCGCAGGTCAGCCGAGATGAACGTACGCAGACAAAGATCCCCCCGTATATCCCCTGTATAGCTTATTGGGGCAAGTGGTGTTAGCGAGCACATACGAAGTCTGGCATGGCACGCGAGGTGGTGGTGTAAATCACCACGCCCGGTCGACTTCGTCTCGCCAGTGCTGATGTTTATGCACATCAGGTACTCATTTAAGGATGGGTCGACCTAAGGGAGGCCCAGGATACGTCCAAACATTTACCAACCAACGTTGGCCAGGTTCGTCGCGCATCGCTCGAACCGCTGCAATACAGCTCTCCAACGTGTTCAAATACAGACACACGTGCTCACACGAGCAGGCATGCAAACGCGCAGCACAAATTGATCAACCACGCTCGCGCCCATACACGGCAAGAGTCAACAATCATCGCTCTCACAGGTACCGCTCGCATGCGGTGGGTACCACCTGCTCAAACACCGACAAACAGCCACCGCACGCGGAAAGTATACAGATCCCATGATCAATACAACACACGTATAAAAGGGTATTCCTGGGAGAGCCGCCGGCTGCAAGCACTTAAATTAATAACGGCCTCTGCCGATGCAGGTCGCACGAACCCAGAGCCGTTTCCTTGAAGCTGATGTCTCGCGAGTCTATCCTCGATGTCATAACACTCATCGGCGTGCTGCTCGCAAACAGTGGGAAGGCATAATTCCCATCATGCCTTGCATGCATGTCATGTGAACACTACATTTGTATGTACATTATACGAGGCATTCAGCCTTGTCCAGACCACCAACTCAATAGGTGTGGCACTACTGGCCTTAAAACTGGCATTGTACATACAATGTTATGATTTATTTACGTATTGAAATATTGCACTTGGAAATTCCCTTGAGATGGAAAAGTTAATTTGTAAGGGTGTCCCCAAGGTGATCGCATGACACACGGCGGTGATCACGACATGCATACAAGGCACGGCGGTAGCTGTGCCCTCCTGCCGGGCGCATACCTTTAAATACATTGTTTCCAGCCTGCACGATGTGTGTATGTTCTTTCGCACCGTACGTAGTCAACCGTGCTAATCGGAGGTGCGGAGGGGAAGAAAACAAACTAAACACAAAAAGTAGTTTTAAAGAAATGAGTGGTGGGCCTCCTCTCGTCTCTGCAGAACCAGACCGTGGCGCGACCGTCACCCAAGTACCCGAGGCACTCCGCAGACGCGACTTGTCAATCAAAGCGACGCTCGCTGCACGCACGCGCAGCCTCAGCAGGGCCCTGCGCGCGAAACCGGTGGAGGACTCGGCAAGCGGTGAGACCGACTGTGACAGTGGGCTCTTCCCTAATCCAGAAATCTTGAAGGAAATTAACAAAACACGCGGCGTGGTTTATACGCACGTGGGAATCAACGGCGCCGTTTTAACTTTGCAGTTATTTACTTGGTTTCCTACTTGGGGTGAGTGGGCCTACCTTTTAGTCGTGGCATACAAAAAATATATATTCTCAGTTGTCCCTCTTGAGAAACCGTCACAAAGTTTCAAAATGAACCGAATAGTGCGAGCGAATTGCTATTTTGAAGGTAATTATCAATGGTTCTTTCGGTAAAGTTACATAGAATGAGAATAAAATAATAAAATAAGGCAATAAAATTCTCACGACGTTTCGGCCACAACACGACAGTGCTCTCATTGGAGCACTGTCGTCCCGACAGCTCTGTTCTTTCACCTGATGAAGGCTGCTTGTGTTGTGGCCGAAACGTCGTGATAATTTTATTGTGTTATTTTATTTTATTATTTTATTCTCATTCTACGTGACTTTACCGCAAGAACCAAAGAAAATGAATCCATGCAGTGACGAAAGCTTTAAATCGAAATTTAATTATCAATGGTTGTAGAAAATATGCTTGTGTGTGCATTTGACACACGCACACACGCGAGCTCACACATGCGCACACACGCACATGCGCACGCACACACGCGCACACCCGAACGCGCCAGCGTGGGTTAAAAGGTTTGTCCGAGTACGTCCGACACCGTGCTATTTTATGAGCATTTGCCCGTAATCAAGAAAGTTGGACAATTACTTCCATCTGAATCACATCCCTAATTGGTTGACATACCATTCCCAAGTACAAAGCCATTTGTCGAGAATATACAATGGGGTCACACCAAGGACGAGAGATGCAAGTGCTGCAACGTTAGTTAAAACTTTCCAGTCATCCTGGTGTCCAAACACACAGTGGAAAAGTATAATAAATATAAAAATATAAAGATTTAAACTTAAAATAGTTCTAATCTAATCATTTTCGACAAACTTTTTTCTGAAAGCTTGTTTTAAGATCACTTCCTGACTCCGACCCCTGGCAGTGGTGGGTAGGGAAATGGGAGGGGCTTGGCGTAGGGGTGGCGCAGGGGTGGGGGGGGGCGGCGGGCCCACGGAGGAGCATCATGCGGACCAATGGCACAGGTCCAGATGTCGACCCTGGGTTAGACCTCGGTCAGATCTAGGCCAGACCTAGGCCAGAACTGGGTCAGATACCTAGGCCAGACCTGGGCCAGTCCAAGTTCAGTACTGCCTGGTTCCCAGTGGTCATGGAAACAAAGCATTGGGGGAAAAGCAATGCTCCACACGGAGCCTTCCTGCAGAACCACCTTACTATCAGTGAACAAAGACTCGACACAATTGACAAAAACACTGCCCTCAAAGGAAAAGTATATCTAATAGGCAATGGCCCTCACTCATCGCACATGAGTATTTGTTGCTTGTGCTTATTTACCACTGAAAGTTCCGAATCACACTCAAACGGTTGAGCTTCCCAGCGAACAGGATAACTGATACGTTATCTGAGAAAGGGTGCCGCATGCCGCTCCATTAACTTGCGGCTCAAAGCGGGGACAACTGCGGCATTTCCTCCCATCACATGGACGATGGGAACGGGGCTCTGAAACGCACGTGGAGGGTGATTTTCCATTTGTGGAGCGCATGACCGATCTGACCGCATGACCAGCTGTTAGCTATACGGACTCGGATGCAGAGGCAGCAAATAAATGAATGCAAGGGGGGAAGAATTGAAACGCCGTAGCAATGGGGCGGCAGGGCACCCTTGCGAGAGAAGCCACGGGTGCTGACGTGTATGCGTATTTGTTAGGAGGCAATGTTATCCAGGCGAACACTGGGCTGTTGTGGAAAAGCACAAAAGTGCATTTCGCTTAAGTTATGGATTTCATTAGCAGGCAATGGGATATCATTACTCGGTATCGCACTATGACTACTGCCCGTGATATATTCGCGTGGGATAAGGAATGCTTAGTGCGCGTCATGTAAAGGAGACGAGGGCAGCCGGAGCAAGCCGCAAACGGCAGAGCGGAGACGGGAGCTTCCGGCTCAAATCAACGCGAGCGGTCGGGTTCTAGCGATTTTAGTCACACGGCATTCCGACGCGTTTGTCTGGGCTGCGCGTCGTTTGGCACAGAGTCCGACGTTTCGTTCCACATGCCGGGAGCTTCTTCAGGAACCCACCATGCCCAACAAGAGCTCACGTTACGACTGGGGAAACCGCATCGGAGAGCGATTCCAAACCACGATTCGGTTCGAGCGCCACTTTCGACAAATAGCGACGAACGATTCACCAATGCCGCCTCACGAAATTGTACGGCTTACACATTTACTGCATAGCCGAGAACTTTATCTGTGGCCATCGGGGGCAGGTGTTGCGGCCGTGGGAAGTCGTGCACCTGTATGAGCACCCAGAGCGCCCGCACGCAGACACGCACACGCACACACACGTACACGCGAGTGGGCTAGAGTGTGTGCGAGAGTGAGAGTGTGTGCGTGCGGCATGGGCTCCCTGTGGGATGCAATGTGAGGCCCTCCACACCCGTCGTCCGTCAGGCATAATAACGAGGCGTGTTTTTTGAGACTGGCAAAAAATAACAGGGCTGGTGGGTGGGGGGTTATTGAAGGCAGAAAGGAACCCAGCTGCATCTGTTGAGGAGGAGGCTGCCATGTGAGGTACCACAATTATGTTAACGATTTAGATTTCATCGTTTTTGTTACCCGGTTAAATAAAATGCAATTGTAAACCAGCAGCCAGGAATGCAGAGATTGGCACGAACGTTCTAGGGTCTCAGAAAAAAAGGTGGGTTCCAATGAGGTGACAAAGATCGCACGAGGCAGGTTCCACTTCTTGCACATCCTGTGCATTTTGATTTCTGATTGTGGAGCGGGATGCCGCGCGCACACCGCTCTCGCGGCCGCGCTGATGCGCGCCGACACGTTTATTAATTAATGCTGAGCGCAGTCGCATAGCAACATCCGACAATAGCGGCATCCACATCCATCCCTCTGCCGTCAACCCGGGTGTTACGCTGCACGCTCAACTGATAGTTTCTAAAATAGTGCAAACTAAAATACCGAACACATGCTCGCCCGCTCACTCACTGGCTCCCACGCCATGCGTGCACAGCCACAGAAACGCATGCACGGGCGCAGCGTGACATCAAAAGGGACAATTTGGGGAAGTGGAACTCATCCATCAGCCTCGGTTTTTGCCGTGAGCCGCTGCGGCCGCCCCAACGCCTTATCTGAAGCCATTAACATTTCCCTGCCGCATTCGGCTCTTGCCCAAACGGTCGCCCGTTCCGCAGCAAGGTCAAAAGGAAAAGCGTTCGGCACAAAACGCTCAAAATGCCTTCTGCTGGGTTTTTTTGGTTTGTTTCAATCGTGAGCATGTTTAAACCTGCTTCCCATCTTCGGTGAACTCCCAAGCATGCACAAGAACACGCGATCACACGCACAAATATAATATAATGGTATATATAAAACCATACCCCCAAGCAAACCGTTGGAAAACAATAACTTCGTGAGATCGCCTGAACGCCCCCCCCCCCTCACCACCCAAGTTGCACCCTGCAAACCATTCACGGTCTGCTGCTATTATAACGTCAGAGCAGGGCCTGCCGAGGGTTGTTTAACAATCTGAACAAATGGGGGCCGAGCGG